GGTCCCTCCTGATAACATGTTCAAAGTACGTGAGGTGAAGTCTCGCCGTCTTCGCTTCTAAGGAGCTTGTTCATTCTGCTGGCAGTCTATTCAATATTATATTCAATAGTATATTCACTATTCAATAGTATATTCAATATTCTTCACCAACACCGTAAGTCAAAGCCATCAATTCTTCTTTGGTCTTCCTTATTCATTGTCCAGCTTTCGCATGCATATGAACCAACTGTAAACACCATGGCTTGGGTCAGGAGCACCTTAATCCTTAAAGTGACATCTTTGCTTTCTAACACTTTGAAGAGATCTTTTACAGCAGATTTATCCAATGCGGTACACTGTCCTTTGTATTACAGCCACGAAAACCCTATGAAGAAGTTCTACTCTGTAACATATGGGGTTGCCATAAGTCAGGGCCAACTCAATGGTGCCTAACAACAACAATGTAATCATTCATAACGCCTCGTCCTTAATAATAGCAGCCTAATAAAAGATAATCATTGTTACTAATATTATTTGTAAGGTCAAGTGTAGTTATCTGCCTTATTTATATATTTATATTCCCATATCACCATGCATAATATTGTAAAAATTATAGACACTTACAAATATATGTTGAATGGATAAATACATTGTGAAAATATACTGTGAAAAACAAAAATCATTCACTCTTTTATTACGTATTTTCTTTCACTTTTAATATTATTTCATAATCAAATCACTTTTTGAGAAGTCCTTATGAAAAGTAACCTGGGCTGCACTGATCTTTATGAAAATCCAACATTTGGGCTGCATTATGGAAAAAATTATATCATTCAAGGACATAGCAATATAGAAAGCTACAACAGATGTCAAAAGGCTAGTAGTCTGCCTATATCATGATGGAAGGCTTTGAAATCTGTATCATACTGATGACTTATGAAAATTTTATTATAGTCAGTCACACCCATGTCATCTTAATGGTGCTCCCAGGGTCTATAATAAAATATCTCCATCAGAGTGATCATAGGTTATCAATTCTTAAAGTTAGAAGGAACCTCAGAAATTGCCTAGTTCAGTCCTTCATTGATGTTTGAATCCCCAGTACAGTATCTCAGCATCAGGTCACTCAATCTCTGGCCACCTTCAGTGCCCAGGGAATCTCACTATCTCCTGATTTGTTTGCTCCATTGTTGGATGACTCAACTCTCTAAAAGGGCTTTCTTGGTATTAGCTGAAACCTGCCTCCATGTAACTTCTTCATATTCATTCTGTTCTACCCCTAGGTCCATTTCCATATGAAACACTTCAGATACTAAAGTGTGGTTATCATGCAGCCCTAAGTTTTCTTCCTGATTTCTTTAACTATTCTTCTCATGACATGGTCTTCATACTTTTTACTATTTTGGTTCTGAAATGCTCTCATTTTAAATATCTTCTTTAAAAGTGTGCTGCCTAAAACCTATTATAGGAATAGCTAGCATTAAAAAGATATGGACATCACCCATTTGATAATGGACAGTCTATTTTTTCAATCTAGTAGAAATGAAATCAGTTCACTGGTTTATGTTTGTTTTGGTGATTTCCTGAAACTTTGACTGAGATTTAGTTC